TGTTTTGAATCTAAGTGCTAATGGTTTTTCTGGGAAGATACCAGCGAGTTTGGGTGCGATGTTCAAGCTAACTACTCTTGATTTAAGCAAGCAGAATCTCTCAGGTGAACTACCTTTTGAGCTCTCAGGTTTACCTAATCTGCAAGTTATTGCATTGCAAGAAAATATGTTGTCCGGGGATGTTCCGGAAGGGTTTAGTAGTTTGATGAGTTTGCAGTATGTGAATCTTAGTTACAATTTATTTTACGGTCATATACCGGAAACTTTTGGCTTTCTACATTCATTAGCAGTTCTTTCATTGTCTAATAATTTCATAAGTGGTGTCATCCCGCCTGAGCTTGGGAACTGCACTGCTCTTGAAGTTCTTGAGCTTGGATCGAATTCTTTGACAGGTCACATTCCTGCTGATCTTTCTGGCCTTTCGAGGCTTAACATGCTAGATTTGGGTGGTAACAACTTAACAGGAGAAATTCCAGCAGTAACCTCCAAATGCTTGTCGTTGACCACATTGTTACTCGATGGTAATCGACTATCTGGTAGCATACCGGATTCTCTCTCCGAGTTATCTAATCTTACAATGCTGGATCTTTCTTCTAATGACTTGAGCGGAGAGATTCCTGCTAATCTCAGTCTTATATCTAGATTGGTCTACTTCAATGTCTCAAGGAATGACCTAGAGGGGGAGATTCCAGTCACTCTGGGTTCCAAATTTAGCAATCCATCAGCATTTGCGGATAATCAAGACTTATGCGGAAAGCCATTGCACCGGAAGTGTGAAAACATGGCTGAAAACAGCAGAAGGAGAAGATTGATTCTTTTGGTTGTTGCGATAGTTTGTGCTGCTTGTTTCTTGTCATTGTGTTGTTGCTTCTATGTTTTCAGCCTACTGAGATGGCGCAGGAAGCTCAAGGAAGCTGCTGGCGAGAAGAAACGGAGCCCTACGAGGGCAAGTTCTGGAGCAAGCGGAGGTCGTAGCAGCACAGACAGTGTAGGTCCAAAGCTTGTTATGTTCAACAACAAGATCACACTTGCGGAAACAATTGAAGCCACTAGGCAATTTGCTGAAGAGAATGTGCTTAGCAGAAGCAAATACGGGTTGGTCTTCAAGGCTTGCTACAACGATGGAATGGTGCTGTCTATACGCCGCTTACCAGATGGATCACTCGATGAAAACATGTTCAGGAAAGAAGCCGAATTTTTAGGCAGAGTGAAGCACCGGAACTTGACTGTTCTCCGTGGCTACTACGCAGGTCCACCGGACTTGAGGCTTCTTGTATATGATTACATGCCCAACGGCAGCCTTGCAACACTCCTCCAAGAGGCATCCCACCAAGATGGTCATGTCCTTAATTGGCCAATGCGCCACCTGATTGCTGTGGGCATTGCCCGTGGTTTAGCCTTCGTACACGCATCCAACATGGTTCACGGAGATGCCAAGCCCCAAAATGTTCTATTTGATGCCGATTTTGAAGCACATTTATCAGATTTTGGCTTGAACCGTCTCACAGTCGCTACTCCAGCAGAAGCTTCCACTTCAACTTCGGTCGGAACATTGGGTTACGTATCCCCGGAAGCAGTTCTAACAGGGGAAGCCACAAAAGAATCAGATGTTTACAGCTTCGGAATTGTTCTGCTCGAACTACTCACAGGGAAAAGGCCAGTCATGTTCATCGAGGATGAAGACATCGTGAAATGGGTAAAACGACAGCTTCAGAGGGGCCAAATCGCCGAACTTTTAGAACCAGGGTTACTCGAGCTCGACCCTGAATCATCAGAATGGGAAGAATTCCTGTTAGGAATCAAAGTCGGGTTACTCTGCACGGCTCCGGATCCTCTCGATCGACCTACAATGGCCGATATCGTGTTCATGCTTGAAGGTTGTCGTGTAGGCGCTGATATTCCTTCATCAGCCGACCCCGCCTCTCAACCATCACCAGCATAAACAAACCCATTTTTCTTGCTCTTTTGTTTTTACCATTTTTTTAGTTTCGGCCAGAAAATATAAACAGTAGCCAGTAGGGGTGAGTTTTTATTTACTTTGATCGTTTCAGTTAATTGTTCATGTTCCATTTACCTTTCTCGTATGTTATTTATTTTTACAACTTTTGCCAACCGCTAGTCCTTTTCAAATGCGTTGCCGGCCATGGGGGTAAGTGAAGTAAAATAATAAATAAAAAATCAAACTTTACCAGTCAACTAAATAGACAAAAAGCTCAGATGAAGAATCAGTGTGTTCGAGAGCAGACAAGAACCTTTAGGACCCACATGGGTTTTGGGCGCCAAACGCGATTGGATCGGTCTGCTCAGAATTCGTCACGTGGCACAATGAAAATAATATAGACGTTGAAATTGTTAACCCCCAGACATACACCCTGGAAACAAAATGAATACAAAAGTTGAAAAAGATATTGGAAAAGAATAGCTTACCCTAAGTTACTTGTTGGAACTTCTTTTTGGAGGGTCAGCAACTTTATTAGGCGGGAATTAAATTTGTGAATATTTATTTAAGTCCTGCATTTTGATTGTAAATGTGTAGTCCAAATGGCAACTACCTGTTTCAGATTCAAGCTTTCCCCAGTACTAAAAAGCCTTCTTTTCGGGCTTTTCCTTGCATGAAACGTGCCAAGTGGCCAACAACCAGAAGCGAATCCTAGATCCAGATGCAATCAAAAATTTAAGAAAAGAACAAAAGAAATGAAATTTTCCGGGTTATTTTAATAACATTATTTTTTTTCCTTGGGTGGGGGAAAGATTATTCTAATTTAGTGGTAGGTCGTGTTCTTCGACTTCGTGATGCGCTTTGCTTGGTTTGGAATCAAATAAAAGGAGAAATTACATCTTCCCCCACTCTCTATTAATTACTGCGAAATTTGTCCTAATCAACCCAAGCATAAGTACTCGAAATGCATTATTATTCTTATCCCGTCTAATAAAGATTTCTACCTTTTTCTTTTGCATTGTTTATGTCCATTAATGTAGTTTCTTGTTTGGTGCTGCCCATGCATTATTATCTCTTGTATTCATCTGTGTCCAATGAAAAGTTGGATTCTGTTGCGATAAGGTAAACACTGATATTTTGGACGTTTGACTTGAATTTAAATTTTTGATTCAATTTAATCTAATAAAAAAAATAATTTAAATATTTTTTAGTCTAATCATCGATATCTGATTTATTAATCAACTATTTCAAATTGAATTTCGTAAAGACTCGTTATGGGAACTATCTTTCTAACCTATATTACTTTATAACAAAGACTTAAAATTCTTGACATTGTTGGATGAATCTGATGTCTTGTCCCATTAGACTAGCCGATTTATTGATAAAATGATTTAAATCTTTGACACAAAAAATGACTAAAACCTTGAAACGGAATTGATCTTGTAAGGATATATTTCATTGACGGAGTTAAACAAATTTCATTCAAACATACACACAAATATAAACTTTTTTTTTATAGAAAACATGTAAAGTATTATTAATGTCTCGATTCAAACACGAACTTTACGGGCTTTCTCCAAACGAATCAAAGATGTATGAGCATATCTAACACTCATTTTCGTCAACATTTATCCATGGCATGTGGATGGAAATTTGAATGCAAATGCATTATTAAATGAAGGTGTGCCCACGTAGTGCAAGTAGTATCCTAGGGCTAGGGTAGGGCTCAAATCGACATTGACTGAACCAAACCCAACTTTACAGCTCTTGAAAGTAAGTGAACCCATTGGACAAGATTAGAAGATACAATGGGCCCATTTAAAAACACATGCATAGGGTCGTAATCATAATTCTTCATAATATCCAACTCACAACCGACAAAAGCTTCAAACAAAACTATGCAAGTGAAAGTCCAACTCCAAAACTAGTCCAATCATTTCTTAGTCAATACTATCTAATATATACAGGAAATGGTCAAATTATAAATTCCCCCACTCTACGAAAATTGACCTATATCGGCATTTAATCTTTATATTTTATAAAAAATTAAGAAGTTAATCTAATTATTGATCAAAATTAAATCTGGGTCAAATATTCGTCATCAACCGTGGCTCATAACCATCTGTTACTATTATCGATGATTATTAGACCTAAAACTTTCGGTTCATCATTTTTTTAACTTCCTTGACATAAAAGTAGCCTATTTGCATATCATTTACAAAATCAAATTCCACACAAAAAAATATCATAAGACATCTTATAAATTGTAGAAATATTATGTTGATAACCTACAATATTTGAAAGTGCGACTGTATCTGATTTAAAGTATAGTTCGGATTTAAGAAGGAAAAGATGACTAAAAATTTTGATTGCATTTTCATTCACTATGCTCAACATGATGTTACATAAAAGATTCTTCCGATGGTAAAATCTTCCGATGGTAAAATTGGATTGTTGTTATCCTTTAAAGTTTTGGGTTCAAACCATTGTGTTTGTAAAGTATATGTACGTTATCAATAATTAATTTTTTTGAACAAATATTACTTTATAAACCTTCCGGACTAATAAAAAAATAAAATCCTAACTTGAAGACTAATAGAATGATTTTTCATTTACATTCTAGATGACAACCTACGTCTCTTCTATGATCTATCTAATATATACCGGAAATGTTCGAATTATGAATTTCCTCCCTATACGAAAATTGAAAAATCAATTCCTACTCTAATTTATAAAAAAAAATGAAAATTTTAATCAAACTGTTATAAAGATCTTTATTTAAACTGTTGATTTTACTTATTTATTACATATAAATTGATGAAGTGCTACATATAAATGACCAAACCAGGTTAATTAACTGCAAGATTTAACATGATCATCCAATTGGACTAATACTTTAGTTTTCATAAAACAAATTACTACTTTATTTTTTATTTACGATATAAAATGATGAAATTCACAATTAACTTGAAATAGAATGGCATATAAAGTCCTAATATACTAAACAATGACCATGCAACGGTGTCCGCATTAAGAAGGAACTTCATTATTGCAAAGCCAATAGAAAGATGAACAGTCTATCATAAAAAGGGTCATTAAATTCCAGAAATAGATAAGATAAACATGATTTATATCTATCTTCTAATCATACAAACACCATGGAACGCTTAAAATAAAATTCACGACAAAGATGAACCGAAAAAACCTTGACAAGTGTTTCTTGCTGCACTCTATTCTGCTCGGGATTGACCAGCACGGGAAGAGAGGATGATACCCACGATGAGTCCATACAGAGCTAAAGCCTCGGCGAAAATGAGGATAAGAATCATTCCAACAAACAGCTTTGGCTGTTGAGCGTTGGCTCTGCAATTAGTTTTATCACAATTTGTGAATCTAATAAGAATCTAATATCGATTATAGAGAGATAAACGCGTAATGGCAAAAGCAAAACAGATGGAAATACCTAACGCCAGCATCGCCGACGATCCCAATAGCCATGCCGGCAGAGAGACCAGCGAGGCCACAAGCAAGACCAGAGGAAAGATGAGCATAGCCATCAAAAAGGTAGTAAGATTTGGCCTTTGGGTTTATCCCAGTGCTAATTATAACGGCAATGATCAACCCATAAATACCTAAAACTCCAGCCATTACAACCGGGACGATCGATTTCATCACCAGCTCCGGTCTCATAACTCCCATCGACGCCACTCCTACACCGCTCTTGGCCGTCCCATACGCAGCTCCCATACCTGAAAAAATGAACAATTTGGTTGGAGAAACTAATCCCCGCGAATAACCAGAAATTTTAAGAGTTAGGGTTAGTTTTTTTTACAGGAGAAAACGAGGGCAGCAGCAGCGCCGAGGAAGCCAAAGAAAGGAGCAGTTTCATCGCCGCTGAATGTAGACGCCATTTTCGAATTTCAGTTTTTCAACAATTCCACCGACGATATGAACAGATTCGGGTAACTAAGACAAGTCAATCTCCAATTTCTTCCCAGATCAAAGGAGAGATCACAGAACCAGGAAATTTCTCAGCGGATCCTCGTCTCCGTAACAGTGCCGTAACCAATGGCGTTAAACAAGGCTCAACCCTGATTTGGGCTAAGTTTTGATGAGCCTATGTTGGGCCGAATAAGACCAAATGCCATTATCTTTAGAAAGGGCCTCAAAAAAATTCTTTTCAAGGTATTTGAGTGTTGAAAAAAAATCATGAAAGTTGATGGGAATATAAACGAGTATTGTTCAATGATGAAGTTCAACAACACTTTTCTTTCCTTTGGGTTGGGAAAATGGTAGAATCCACTTTCCATTTAACACGACAAACAAAAAGGGATTACAGACCATAGTACAGCAAGAGCTAAACTGGTTTACAAAATATACTTCAAAACTTTGGTCTCCTGGAACTAATAAACAAATGGAATAATGGCCCACCGATTATGCGGATAGTCCTCAAACTTCTGAAGGTACCACCGGTGAGTTTCCACTGCAACGAATGAAAGATTAGCCACCTGAAACAGCAGACACCAATGGGATACAAAGTTATAAAGGCAATCGGTCTAATAATCTTTACAAAGTTCTGGAAAATGGATATGGAGGTTCAAAATACCACAAATCCAAGAAGTAGCCATATAGTAAAGTCAGTTCCTCCACTCGCAACCAATAGACCGGCATATATTACCTGTCCAGATGCAAGGAAGTGATGATCATAGCTTGTCAGTTTGGCAGCAACCATGGCATACACAAAGCATCCATAAGTAAGTTAAAGAATATCACCATCTCTGCTAAATAGTGTGGACTTGAGACAATTTCGAACCAATCTCCATGTGGAATCCCATATTCAGCAGTTTGATCTCCACGTTCTCTGAGTGAACCCTGTATCGAAGCCAGAGAAATCAGCATCCAGATGAGCAGAAGTTGCAACCATTTAGAATCAGCAGAGAATGATAAATATATTGATAATGAAATTTGGAATAAACCACAAGCAAATAGAGATTCAAACAGGCAAAAACACCTACAAGAATTTCATGACAACGAAATTCATGGAACCACCCCCAAGCATATATAGCAGCACCAGCCCATTGGCACGATACAAGCCTTGTTATAGGTTTCACATATCCCCACAAATCCAAATCCAGAATAGACACCATTTCTTGGCCTTCAACTTTAAATTCAGCCACTTGATCAGCTGCAAAATTAAAAGCCTCTAGTGCACAAAATGTACATAGTGACAGAGGTGCTGCTGTATAAAAACTGCCAATACAATCAGAAACATATACAAACTAAAAGGGCATTTGAGATTATCGACTGATCATGCTCAGTTAAAAAAGTTCATTCTTTTACAATTACACTAATTTGCACAAGCTTTAATCAACAAGGAATCAAATAATTCATCAGTGGCAGTTCATAAACTTATAAAATGTGTACAGCAACTCACTAGATACCAGTTAAGTATCCAAAAATGTGCATCCTAGCCGAAGAGCTATAGTTGAAAACATAAAAGGTCTCGTAAAGCCGCCTCAGGACATGAATTTCCATCAACAGCAACAAGAACACACACTTCCAAACATTGAATCTATCCTCAGCCTACGTAAAACGAGACTTGTGTAGGGAAAATACATGTGACCCTCCTGTCAAGTGACTAACAGCTGCAACATAACTCAATGACTCGGAACTAAAAGGAGCAACTTTGTATGCAAAGTACCAAATACCCATTAACAAGGTTGTTGTCCAAACCACACCCAACAAATAGAAGTGCAGAAAGAAACTCTGTGGAACTGTGAACCTCTACATTAGCCACAAAAACCCAAATAAAAATTGAAGGGAATTTCTTAAAAAAGGTGAAGAAATCCAAAAAGAAAAAAATGGTTCTTACATTGGATGAAGATGACATAATCTTGCCCTCTTAGCAAAGCCTAGTAAAATGGAGTGAAAAAAATTGAGGCGTGGAGTAGGGAGTGAAGCGATGAAGACAGGAAGAATCCCAGCAATCCATGCCGCTCTTAGAAGCCAAATAAGGCCTGTTTTAACGGTGCTAATTGACAGTGAAGCAAAAGTTTCCATCAAAATTCCAAGTAAATTCATTTCCCCCAGAATCAAACGAGTATGACAGAGGAAAGAAACTTGAAGGGGTCGTTGCAAGCAAGAGCAGAGTAGCCGGCAAAATATAGTAACGTGTCAACAACGTGGCATCACGGTGTAAAACTGGATTGGCGGCTCGGCCCTTTTGCGTGAACAAATGAAAATCATTCATTGGGCTCTTAGATGGATTAATAATAGAAACTATAGAAACTTGCCTTATCCTATATTAGGGTTTTGCTTATTATATGGACATCTCTCTTCTGGAGACAACCTTTTCGGCCTGCCTTAATTGTCAGTTCGAGCTCAACCGAGTATATAATTAAGGGTAAAATAACCACTTAATTATATTATCTCCCTTATTTTACTCACTGCACTTTTTTTTTAATTTACTTTCGAATTATTTTTATTTTGATCACTCTGAATTATTTTTATTTTTGTTATGTACGATGACATTTTTTTTTAATAAAAATAATTAAAAATATATAAAAAAGAAAGTGGCTAGATACTATCGTCGATCACTGTCGACCGTCGTAGATGGTGATCATTCGATCTCAAATTACATGGGTCAGCTCGTCTCGACCTGAATCCCAACCGAGTATATTTTTTAAAGTAAATCTCAACTCTAAATAAAATCAAATCAATCAAAACTCTTTCGGTTGGACTTAATTTGTAAACGCTTACCTCTCTATCTCTTGTTTATTCAAATCTAATTTTATAAAGGGAACTATTTTAGTTTAACCCTAGAAAAAAAATAGAATGATTTTATCTTAATCATTTGTAAAAGATGGAGGTTGCAAAAGCTGTGTATTACCCTTGAAAGGTAGTTGTTGATTTAATTTAGATTTTAGTTAAAATTCTTAGTTTGATAAGAAGGTAAGGTGATAGAGATAGATGAACGATTTAACTATTACAAATCGATCATACTTACTTTACTATCATTTCTCATCAATTTTTATCGAAAATTTTAGAAAGTCAATTCACCTCTTTCCCTTTTTACTCCTAACAAAGACGAGTTAATCAGGTCCATGGGTTCATCAAAAAGGCCCATCTCATGATCAATTATAAGATTTGGATCAAATAGTTTAGGATATTTACAAAATAGTATATATTTAGAATTTTTAGTTATAGACCACGCACACACATTTACAAATCCAGCTGCTCGAATCTATGATCTCAATAAATAACAACACTCCTTATATCGCTGAGGCCACCTGATAGGTCCAAATGACAACTTCTTCAACATTAATTTCTTTATTAATAATATTCAAACTCAACCTTAGAAATATTAAAAATATCAAATTTATCGTCAACTAAAGACTTTGGTATATTGATATTTTCTTTGATATTGAACCGAAATTAGGGTTTTCCTATGCAAATGATTCTTTATCAAGGTCGTAGTTTGAGCCTGGATAGGAGGGCATCTACTCAAGACCCAAAATTTACATATAATTAAAAGAGAGTAAATTATTATTTTTTAATATCATGTCTAACCTTATGTTTTATTTCTGTTTTGGTCACCTAATATTTTTTTTGCTTACCCTTGCAAAATTTTTTCTTCAATATTTATTATTAGAGGCTTAATTTTTATATTTATCCTGAGGTCACTGAAATCTCGTATATGTACTTTATGTTTAAAATAGTGAAGAATATGCTTTTGTCAACTTTTAATAGAGTACAATAATTCTTTAAGAGTGCATGAGAGAGTAATATTCATGCTATTCAAATCAACAACGACTATTATGAAAGTGGTGAAAAAAGGGAAAGTTATACTTATACTTGGTTTCTACCAACAACCTCAAAGTCAAACGTGCACGAATGCTTAACATCTAATGCACTGTGATTAAGTTTCGGATACAAAAGTTGTTTTCTACATTATGAAATTTTGTTAACTTCCATCATTGCAGTCAGTAAATCTTGTACATCACAAAAGATATCCAACCAGAGAATAATATAATTGTCGAAACTCGAATCTCTTTTACGCTTACTGGTAAAATAAATTTTCAAATTTTTAAGATAAAATCAATTAAGTTCCTTTGCATCTTATTAAATTCTTCAACCGTAAAATTTAATTAAATAGGTCATTTGATCAATATTGACTGCTAAATCATTGACGTAGTGATTGAATGTTGATTCTGCAATCAAATTTTATTAATGTGACAATCCACGTGAGCTACCGTCAAAAGATGCTGGCATTGTCGTTCATTAATTGTCACATCAATATATTTAATGATCAACATTGATCAAAGGACTTATTTGATTAAATTTTTTTGTGGTCGAAGTACTTAGTTGAGTGTAAAAGGTCAAGAGAGACTTATTTGATTTTTTAAAAATTTTGAGTATTTATTTGATTGAAAATGGTTTTATGTAGTCGAAAACCGTTCTTTTTAACACCTTCAAAATTTTATCGAACTTTTCATGATGTATGTGTTAGATTTGTCTAGAAATTAAGTTGACAAGTTGGAAATTTCATCTTGGTTGGTGGCCAACTTATTGGAAATTTCATCTTGGTTGGTGGCCAAACTTTGAACATGTGAATTTATATTTGGTGGCTAACTTGTACACATTGGAAAATTCTTTGGTAGGTGGCCAAACTTTGAACATATTGTTCTTGAAACTCAACTATAAATAGGCCTAAGTATTTCCATTAGAAATCATCTCAAAAACAAGTTCTCTCTTCCTCTTGTATTATTCATTCTCCCACTTTGGGAATTCCAAAGAATTCCATTTGTTGTAATATTGGCGATATAGTGAAGTTATCATCCGGTGTGGTGCCCGAGGAGTAGACGATATTCTTGTCGAACCTCGTAAATTTGGTGTGTTCTCTCCTTTATTGTTTTTTATTCGGTTCTTTTCCATCGTGTTTCAATATTCAATAGTTTGACAGGTTTATCTGCTGTGCAACCTTTGGTGGTTTTAATCTTGACATTTTAGGTCAATTTTAAAACTACGTTCGTGTGGGAAATAACCC